AATATGGATGTTATTCAACCGACAGGCCTATCTGGAGTTTTTCACCTCCAGTGAAAATGTGACCGCTCTTCTTAAAGTACTGAAGAAGTACGAGCCCCGTGTGAATTATCACATTGTTAATGTGAATGTAAGTTTGTTCACAAAGCATCAGTCACTCCATGGTTGTGTGTGTGTAAACATTGGTCATGGTGAACATTTTGCATGCAGGGCCGTAACCTGACCAACGCCCCTGAAATGCAACCAAATGCTGTGACTTGGGGGATCTTCGCCGGAAGGGAGATTGTTCAGCCGACTGTAGTGGACCCAGTTAGTTTCATGTACTGGAAGGTGAGACACTGTCTTCTTTCTGTCCACAGTTTGGGGAATGTTAAACCTTGTGTCGTGTTTTTAAATGACTGAAATATTTAAGGTTTAAAAGGGTAATAATAAAGTATGACTGCATTTAATGGTAGAGTAGGAGGCGGAGCTCTGAAACCAGCTCCAAGCGGTCGCAGCAGATGGCCCCGCCCCTCCTTGCTGCTGGTACTGCTGGAGGTTTCTTCCTGTTAAAAGGGAGTTTTTCCTTCCCACTGTCACTAGCTGCTCGCTCATACGGGCTTATCTGATTGTTTGTTTTCTCTGTATTTTTGTATAATCTTTAACTTTAAAGACAGAGTGCAGTGTGACGTAAAAGCTCTGGCATGTTGTGTTGACCCAGATGTTCTCATATCTTCTCAGGATGAGGCGTTTGCCTTGTGGATTGAGCAGTGGGGCAAACTCTATGAAGACGAGTCTCCTTCTCGGATGATAATTAAATATATCCATGACAATTACTTCCTCGTCAATTTGGTGGACAATGACTTCCCTCTGGAGAACTGCCTGTGGCAAGTCATCGATGACATGTTTGAGCTGCTCGACGCTCCTCCAGAGCTTCACAGTGAAGAAACTGTCTGAATAAAGTCTCTTTTTTTTTTTTAAGAAAAAGAAAGAAAAGAAAACACTAAGAACAGTTGAGTTTTTTAAAAAAAAAAAATGCCATTAACGTTACAGAGTATGAATATCAAACTGTAAAGATGTTTTTATTGATTTTTCAAACCTTTGAGTGAATAGGAAACAATGATCAATGAAATTGTGCGGTCATGTTGGCTCCTGATGAGTAATGTCACTGTCAGGCAGATTAACCTGTTTTGTTTTTACGTATGTGGAGCTGATCATTTGTTCAAAGGGAAACTTGTGCTAAACAACGAAACCTCCAAACGATGACCTCAGAACATGAATTGTGAACATTTCACTTTTACTCTTACAAAGAGTTCAGATGGCCTACATGTAAGAATGAGCATTAATGTGTTATTATAGGTGAGAACCTAGTGTAGTGATCAAATATATGTAAGATGTGTGCAAATCTTACACCTTATGATGAACTTGATGTCATGACAAGAGTCACACTTAAAGCACCTGCTTCCTTATGTACATGATTAATAATACTTATTAAATACTTTTCCTTCACTTACGTAACTTGTCCAGTAACTGTGTGGGTGGGAGGTATGGAGCTGGGCATCGACGCTGGTCTGTAGTGACAAGTGGCTTTATTAGGTGCTAGTGCTAACGTCAAGTTCAAAGTCCAGGTCATACAGTACATGACACTCCAGCAGCCAAGTGGCATGTGGGGATTTTCCACATATTGAGTAATTCAACGTGTAAATGTACATGTCACAGCTTATTGACCAGATCACCTACATCATGTTGAGCCAAGCAGAAGACACGTGTAAAGTATAGTTTGTATTTCTGCAAAAAATATTAGTAATGGAAGAAGCAATTAAAGTTTAAAATTTCTATCATTTTGCAAAATGTATTTTCCAGCGAGTTTTTTTTTTTTTTATTTAAAAGTCCAGTTTAAGTTAGTTTTCTGGGTTCTTGTATCTGTATAAGCTTTTATGACATGTTAGAATGGGTGTCAGAATAATCAGCACTAGCTTGCAGTGTAGTTTCTAAATCTACGCTCCATTTTTAGTGATTACTCAAAATCTATTGCAAATATAAATGTTG